ACTCCCAGAATCCTCAGCCAATTTGGCTAATGAGCAGGCCTTCTGGGAACTGAAGTCCAAATTCCCTGGATGAGCAGAGCTTGGGAAAAGTCACAAGAGGCGGGCCTCACTCAGACTCTAACCCGTCAGGTTTTTTCAGACTACAACTCCCAGAAGCCTCCACATTTTGGCCAATGAGCAGGCCTTCTGGGAACTGAAGTCCAAATTTTTGGACGAACAGAGTCTGAGAAACGTCACAATGGCGACTCTAGCCGGTCAGGATCTTTTGGACTTCAGCTCCCAGAAGCCTCGGCCGCCTTGGCCAATGAGCAGGTCTTCTGGGAAATGAAGTCCAAACTACCTAGCTCAGAGGTTGGGAAACGTCACAAAGGGCGGGCCTCACTCCTCCTCTTTCAGACTTCAACTCCCAGAAGCCTCGGCCGCTGTGGCCAATGGGGAGGGCTCCTGGGAGCTGAAGTCCAACCACTCAGAAGCCACCAGGGCGGGCCTGCCTCCAAGAGAAGAGCCTTTGAAACGTCACAAAAGGGTATGCCTCACTCCGACTTCAACTCCCAGAAGCCTCGGCCGCTTTGACCAATGAGGAGGGCTCTTGGGAGCTGAAGTCCAACCCCACAGAAGCCACCAGGGCGGGCCTGCCTCCAAACTACCTATAAGAGCAGAGCTTGGGAAACGTCACAAAGGGCGGGCCTTCCTCCGCCTCTTTCGGACTTCAACTCCCAGAAGCCTCGGCCGCTTTGTTCAATGAGGAGGGCTCCTGGGAGCTGAAGTCCAACCCCTCAGAAGCCACCAGGGCGGGCCTGCCTCCACACTACCTACAAGAGCAGAGCTTGGGAAACGTCACAAAGGGCGTGCCTTATTTATTTATTTATTTATTTACTTTGCTTATATACCGCTGTATCTCAAGCCCGAAGGCGACTCACGGCGGTTCACAAACAGTAAAAACAGTAGAAACAGCAGTGGTTCCATACAACATATAACAATTGACTTAACACATTATCCATAGATTACCAATAAGCAATTACAATGCACAATTATTACAAAAAACAACCGTACCCAATCTTCTCATCATCCAAGCGTAGTCCAGGTTCGTCTTCCATTGTTCCATTCCTATATTCCATTACCAGATCACTGCCCTAATTATTCGAACACCTGCTTGAACAGCCAGGTCTTCAATTTCTTGCGGAATATCATTAGAGATGGTGCTAGTCTAATGTCCATGGGAAGGGTGTTCCACAGCCGAGGGACCACCACCGAGAGGGCCCTATCTCTCGTCCCCGCCAGCCAGCTTGAGAAGCAGGCGGGATCGAGAGCAGGGCCTCCCCGGAAGATCTCAAAGTCCTGGTGGGTTCATAGGCAGAGATGCGGTTAGATAGGTAGCTTGGGCCGGAACCGTTTAGGGCTTTAAAGGCCAACGCCAGCACTTTGAATTCAGCCCGGTAGCAGATCGGTAGCCAGTGGAGTTGGCGCAACAGGGGGGTTGTATGCTCCCTGCGCTCCGCTCCTGTTAAAATCATGGCTGCCGAGCGTTGGACTAGTTGGAGCTTCCGAGCTGTCTTCAAAGGCAACCCCACATAGAGAGCGTTGCAGTAGTCTAAACGGGATGTAACCAGAGCGTGGACTACCGTGGCCAAGTCAGACTTCCCAAGGTACGGGCGCAGCTGGCGCACAAGTTTTAGCTGTGCAAATGCTCCCCTGGTCACCACTGAAACCTGGGATTCCAGGCTCAGCGATGAGTCCAGGGTCACACCCAAGCTGAGAACCTGCATCTTCAGGGGGAGTGCAGCCCCATCCAACACAGCTGAAACCCTATGCCCTGTTCGGCCTTGCAACTGACCAGGAGTACCTCTGTCTTGTCTGGATTCAACTTCAATTTGCTCCCCACATCCAGACCGTCACAGCGGCCAGGCATCGGTTCAGGACTTGGACAGCCTCCTTAGCAGGTGGAAGGAGTGACAAGTTGGACATCATCTGCGTACAGATGACACCGTACCCCGAAACTCCGGATGATCTCCCCAGCGGCTTCATGTAGATGTTAAACACCATGGGAGACAAGTATTGAGCCCTGAGGAACCCCACAAGACAATGGTTGTGGGGTTGAACAGGTGTCCCAACAACACCTTCTGAGACCGACCCTCGAGGAATGAGCGGAGCCACTGCAGAACAGTACCTCCAAGACCCATCCCCGCGAAGCGTCCCAGAAGGATACCGTGGTCGACGGTATCGAAGGCCGCTGAGAGGTCGAGCAGCACCAACAGGGACACACTCCCCCTGTCGAGCTCCCGGCGCAGATCATCCACTAAGGCGACCAAGGCTGTCTCGGTACCATGTCCCGGCCTAAAGCCAGACTGTGCCGGGTCTAGATAATCCGTGTCTACCAAGAATACCTGGAGTTGTGAGGCCACCACACGTTCCAAGACTTTGCCCAAGAAGGGGAGATTGGAAACTGGCCGATAGTTGTCGAATTTAGTGGGTTCCAGTGATGGTTTCTTCAACAGCGGTTTTATTATAGCTTGTTTTAAGCTCGCTGGAATCTTGCCTTCCCGAAGGGAGGCATTAACCACCACCTTTACCCACTCAGCCAATCCCCCTCTGGCCTCCTTTAGAAGCCAGGATGGGCAGGGGTCTAGGATGCATGTGGTCGCCTCATTCCTCCAAGTATCTTGTCCACATCCTCGGGTTTCACCAATTGAAATGAATCCATCAAAACTGGACAAGCAGGTGCTCGTGTTACATCCTCAGAGACTGCCATTAACATGGTATCCAGACCAGAACGGATCAAAGCGACTTTGTCTGCAAAGAACTGAGCAAAAGCTTCACAGCGAGAAGTCGAATCGTCAGGGTTCCCACCTTGAGCGGTGGGATTTAAAAGGCCTCTGACAATTCGGAACAGCTCAGCCGGACGGTTCTTTGCAGACGCAATAGTGGCCGCAAAGAAGGCCTTCTTTGCGGCTTTTATTGCCGCGGCATATGCCCTTAAAAAGGACACAAACCGTGTTCGATTTGGCTCGCTCGGATCCGAACGCCACACACTCTCTAGTTCCCTCTTCCTTCGCTTCATCACTGCCAGCTCCTCGGTGAACCAAGGAGCTGGTTTAGCTCGGCTACTTGAGAGGGGACGTTCCGGAGCGATCGTGTCAATTGCCCTAGTCATCTCCCCATTCCAGAGAGTGACCAGGGCCTCGACAGGATCACTTACCGAGGCGGCGGGAAACTCCCCACTCTTTCGGACTTCAACTCCCAGAAGCCTCGGCCTCTTTGACCAATGAGGAGGGCTCCTGGGAGCTGAAGTCCAACCCTTCAGAAGCCAACAGGGCGGGCCTGCCTAAGAGAAGAGCTTTGGAAACGTCACAAAAGGGTATGCCTCTTACGGACTTCAACTCCCAGAAGCCTCAGTCACTTTGGCCAATGGTCAGAGTCTTCTAGGAAGTGAAGTCCAAACCGCTTTGGAAACATCACAAAGGGCGGGCCTTACTCAGCCTCTTTCGGACTTCAACTCCCAGAAGCCTCAGCCACTTTGGCCAATGAGCAGGTCTTCTGGGAACTGAAGTCCAAGCCACCTAGAGGACCAGAGCTTGGGAAACGTCACAAGGGGCGTGCCTCACTCGTCTTTCAGACTTCAACTCCCAGAAGCCTCGGCCGTTGTGGCCAATGAGGAGGGCTCCTGGGAGCTGAAGTCCAACCCCTCAGAAACCAGGGCGGGCCTGCCTCAAACTACCTACTCATCCTCTTTCAGACTTCAACTCCCAGAAGCCTTAGCCGCTTTGTTCAATGAGGAGGGCTCCTGGGAGCTGAAGTCCAACCCCTCAGAAGCCACCAGGGCGGGCCTGCCTAAGGGAAGAGCTTTGGAAACGTCACAAAGGGCGGGCCTCACTCCGCGTCTTTCGGACTCCAACTCCCAGAAGCCTCGGCCGTTGTGTCCAATGAGGAGGGCTCTTGGGAGCTGAAGTCCAACCCCTCAGAAGCCACCAGGGCGGGTCTGCTTCCACACTACCTACAAGAGCAGAGCTTGGGAAACGTCACAAAGGGCGGGCCTCACTCAGCCTCTTTCGGACTTCAACTCCCAGAAGCCTCGGCCGCTTTGTCCAATGCGGAGGGCTCCTGGGAGCTGAAGTCCAACCCTTCATCTGCATACCAATTGGAAGGCCAGAGCATGAGAAACGTCACAAGGGGCGTGCCTCACTCGTCTTTCAGACTTCAACTCCCAGAAGCCTCGGCCGTTGTGGCCAATGAGGAGGGCTCCTGGGAGCTGAAGTCCAACCCCTCAGAAGCCACCAGGGCGGGCCTGCCTCCAAGAGAATGTGGAAGGCCAGAGCTTGAGAAACGTCACAAGGGGCGTGCCTCACTCGTCTTTTGGACTTCAACTCCCAGAAGCCTCGGCCGTTGTGGCCAATGAGGAGGGCTCCTGGGAGCTGAAGTCCAACCAGGGCTGGACTGCCTCCAAACTATCTAGGCCAGAGCCTGAGAAACGTCACAAGGGGCGTGCCTCACTCTGCCTCTTTCGGACTTCAACTCCCAGAAGCCTCGGCCGCTGTGGCCAATGAGGAGGGCTCCTGGGAGCTGAAGTCCAACCCCTCAGAAGCCACCAGGGCGGGCCTGCCTCCAAGAGAAGACCTTTGGAAACGTCACAAAAGTGTATGCCTCTTACGGACTTCAACTCCCAGAAGCCTCAGTCACTTTGGCCAATGAGCAGGCCTTCTGGGAACTGAAGTCCAAACCGCATGGACGAGCAGAGCTTGGGAAACGTCACAAAGGGCGGGCCTCAGTCATCCTCTTTCGGACTCCAACTCCCAGAAGCCTCGGCCGTTGTGTCCAATGAGGAGGGCTCTTGGGAGCTGAAGTCCAACCCCTCAGAAGCCACCAGGGCGGGTCTGCTTCCACACTACCTACAAGAGCAGAGCTTGGGAAACGTCACAAAGGGCGGGCCTCACTCAGCCTCTTTCGGACTTCAACTCCCAGAAGCCTCGGCCGCTTTGTCCAATGCGGAGGGCTCCTGGGAGCTGAAGTCCATTCCCTCAGAAGCCCGCTTTCCTCCGCCTCCCGCTCCATCCGCCGGGGAGGCCGAGCCGGCCGGCTTCGGAGTGGCGCGTCGGCCTGCTCCTCCTTCCCTCCTTCGCCCTCCTGACTCAGTGGCGGCATGGAGGGCCTGGAGGAGACAGAGGCGGCGGCGTCGGGGGCCCCGACTAGGCCTGAGCCGGGCCTGAGGCTGCACTTGCCTCTCCCGCCTCCCTTGCCGCCTCCCCCGCTGCTCCTCTCCCGGCGCCGGGCCCCTCCGCACCGCCACTCGTCTTCCCCTCAGGGCCGGCCTCGCCGCCGGAGCCGCCACCTCCTCCTCATGGACGGCGGCGGCGGGGGAGGCCCTCACCACCATCTCTACCCCGAAGACGACCTGGAGGATGACGAGGAGGACGACGACGAGGAGGACGGCGAGGACGACGAGGCCGACGGGGGAGGCCTGGCCAGCAGCGAGAGCGCAGAGAGCGGCGGCGGCGGCGGTGGAGGCTTCTCCTCCTCGTTGGAGCCTCGCAAGCGGGCCCGAGGCACGACTTCCTCGGCGGGCTCCTCGTCGTCGCTAGGCCCGGGCCGGTGCTGCTACGAGGTGGTCCGCGAGCTGGGCCCCGAGGAGGTGCGCTGGTTCTACCGCGAGGAGCGCAAGAGCTGGAAGCCCTTCATCGGGTACGACTCGCTCCGCATCGAGCGCGCCCACCGGGGCATCCTCCTCCGGGAAGGGAGAGCCCAAGGAGAGGCCCACGAAGGGAGGCAAGAAGGAGAAGCAGAAGGAGAAGGAGGAGAAGGAGGAGCAGACACCGGGAAAGAAGCAGGAGGGGAGGCCCCCGAGCCCGTCTGCGTCCGAGGAGGGCTCTACGAGGTGGACGTCGCCAACGCAGAGTGCTACCCCGTCTACTGGAACCGTAAGTCCAAGAAGACACCACCACGAATACTACATAATAATAATAATAATAATAATAATAATAATAATAATAATAATAATGTAGTTTCTTTGTGAAAATGCCATAGGGATTTTGTAAAAAATCTACTGGAAATGTAAGCCCAGGAATACATAATAATAATAATAATAATAATAATAATATTGTAGTTTCTTTGTGAAAATGTCATGGGGACTTTGTCAAACATCTACTGGAAATGTAAGTCCAGGAATACATAATAATAATAATAATAATAATAATAATAATATTGTACATAATAATAATAATAATAACAACAACATTATTATTATTGTACATAATAATAATAATAACATTATTATTTATTGTAGTTTCTTTGTTAAAATGTCATAGGGACTTATCAAAAGTCTACTGGAAATGTAAGTCCAGAAATACATAATAATAATAATAATAATAATAATATTGTAACATTATTATTTTTATTATTATTATTGTAGTTTCTTTGTGAAAATGTCATGGGCACTTTGTCAAAAGTCTACTGGAAATGTAAGCCCAGGAATACATAATAATAATAATAATAATAATAATAATAATAATAATAACAACAACAACATTATTATTATTATTATTATTATTATTATTGTAGTTTCTTTGTGAAAATGTCATGGGGACTTTGCAAAAAATCTACTGGAAATTTAAGCCCAGGAATGCATAATAATAATAATAATAATAATAATAATAATATTGTAACATTATTATTATTATTATTATTATTGTAGTTTCTTTGTGAAAATGTCATAGAGACTTATCAAAAGTCTACTGGAAATGTAAGCCCAGGAATATATAATAATAATAATAATAATAATAATAATAATAATAATGTAGTTTCTTTGTGAAAATGTCATGGGCACTTTGTCAAAAGTCTACTGGAAATGTAAGTCCAGGAATACATAATAATAATAATAATAATAATAATAATAATAATAATAATAACAACAACAACGTTATTATTTATTGTACTTCCTTTGTTAAAATGTCATGGGGACTGTCAAAAGCCTACTGGATATATAATAATAATAATAATAAGACCAAGTAAGAAAGGGTGCTATACAAAGAATTTTGGATATAGAAGCACAAAAAGATATATCCACCCTCAGTAAGACTGCTAACCTAAAATGGCTGAGTCAAAATAAACATACCTTTCAAACTGCTAACTACCTAAAAATGCAAATACCAAAACATCTCAGGGAGGTATTCACTTAAGCCAGATTTGATCAGCACGAGACAATGGTTAGATACGGGAGATTTCACAGCATCCCTTATAATGAACGGAGTTGTATCTGCGGGGCACCTGAAATTGAGGGTATAGCACACATATTGTCCTACCTCTGAGGATGCTTGCCATAGATGCAGGCGAAACGTCAGGAGAAATGCCTCTAGAACATGGCCCTATAGCCCGAAAAAACCCACAAGAACCACATATTGTTTGATTGCAAATTGTATCAGAAGGTGAGAGACTCCCACCTTGGTCCATATATCAAACGGACGATGTATTGGGATTCTCACATCAGAACAACATATTTTATGTGTGGCCAAGACCCAAAAATAACATATAAAACAACTCTGTACTTAAGCAAAACAATACGTCTGAGAACCACATATGTAGGGCTGATTGGGGTAAATTGTAGGGGTGATAATGAGATATGATGTATATACTCAGCTTGATCAGCTTATCAGTTTTATCATGTCTTATCATATGTATTTAGTGTATTATTTTAACTTTCTACGTGGAGTGTGATCAGGTCTTGTCAGACCTTGTTGTTCTGTATCTTATTGTGATATGACCTAAGGGCTAATCAATAAAATTACTACTACTACTACTATTTAATACCCCGCCACCATCTCCCCAATGAAGACTCGGGGCAGCTTACATGAGGCCAAGCCCAACAGCATATTTCAATAAAATAAAACCAAAACACAACACAGTAAAATGCATACAACCCTCTGTATACGAACACACACAATCTCTTCGTTCATCTGGAGGGACCCTGCTCTCGATCCCACCAGCTTCGCAAGCGCGATTGGTGGGGACGAGAGAGAGGGCCTTCTCGGTGGTGGCCCCTCGACTCTGGAACTCACTCCCTAAGGACATTAGGCAGACCCCAACTCTGGCAGTCTTCAGGAGGAGCTTAAAGACATGGTTGTTCCAGTGTGCCTTTCCAGAATAATGATCCCATAGCACTTTGTCCTCCAAAGCACTTTACACTTTTAGGTCTGCTCATATGTCTTCCATAAACGCCACTATCACCTCTTCGTCCAGGCCTCAGCACTATTCCAATTTTAATTTTTACATTTGGCCTTCCCAGAGTTTTAACTATATGTTGTCTTATTGATAATGTTCATGTTTTATTTTAATTGCGTGTATTGTTGTGATTATTGCCTGTATTGTTGTGTTTGGGCTCAGCCTCATGTAAGCTGCACCAAGTCCCTTGGGGAGATGGTAGCAGGGTACAAATAAAGTATTGTTATTATTATTATTACAACATATGAGTACAAAAACTGATAAAGCAAAATCATACACAATAAAGTGGATTGATTACAACAGGAGTCCTCAAACTTTTTAAAAAGAGGGCCAGGTCACAGTCCCTTAAACTGTTGGAGGGCCGGATTATAGTTGGGAAAAAAATGAATGAATTAATATGCACATTGCACATACCTTATTTATAGTTCAAAAACACTTAAAATACAATAATTAAAATGAAGAACAATTTAAACAAATATAAACTTATTAGTATTTCAATGGGAAGTGTGGGCCTGCTTTTGGCTGATGAGATAAGATTGTTGTTGTGTGATTTCAAGTTCTTTCAGACTTAGGTTGACCCTGAGCAAGGGCTGGGTAAATTATTTTGGAGGGCCATATCCGGCCCCCGGGCCTTAGTTTGAGGACCCCCGGATTACAAACTACATTATTATTGTTGTTGTTGTTTAACAAGATCCCCATTATATCCTCACAAAGAAGCTGTTGTTGTTATTATTATTTACACAACAATAGTACACAGCAAACAAGATCACTATGCTGTTTTTTGTGTTTGATCACACGTCGGACACTTCCCAATTTTTTTGTGTCACCGGACTTCTTCATCAAGCAAGAAAACTGCACAAAGTACAGACCTAAGACAAAGAGGCGGAAGAAGACAAAATAGACTTGAGTTCCTTTTACACTATACAATTATAGCCTATTGATCCTACTATAACTCTCATAGCTGCAACCTGTGGAATTCTAAGATTTGTAGCTTGAAAAATCTTTCAAAAAATTCCACATTGCTAGACTGCAGATCTCAGGATTGAGGGGGTGGTATTTTTTGTCAGTCTTCCTAGTTTGTGGGAAGGATGTTATTTTGGGGCTTCCCCTCCTAGAATCCCCCAGCCAGCTTAATTGGACTTGGGGGAGGTTTTTGTTCTTGAGCTGTCGCTTCCAGAATCCCCCAGCCTGTGTAGATGAGCTTGAGGAATGTTCTTTTCAGATTCCTTAGGCAAAGAAAACTCAAGTTCCTTAGGCAAAGAAAACTCAAAGGTGATTTTGCCAATTCCTTGTTTTGAAACATCGCCTACAGTCCCTGATATTTGTTGGCAATCTTTCTGGGCAGGAGGAATGTTCTTTTTGGACTGCCACTCCCAGAACGCTGGCAGGGAGTAGCAGTCCAAAAACACACCTTTCCCCACTTACTAAAAGTTCTAGCCTTCTGCGTTTGGAGAGAAAGGAATCATTGATATTCTTGGCAGTAAGTCCCATTACATTCTTGGGAGGGGGTCTGACTTCCCACCCACTCAAAAGGTTTAGGACAATTTGGCTGAATATCCATCTGAAGCCAGGTCTTCCTGTGTGTAATGAATGCTGGAAAGGAGACAATTCTCTCCCACACCCCAAATACAACCCAAAATTTATAATATTGGGGGGGGGGGGTACCATCTAAAACGCAATAGCTTTATTTATACAACATAACAACATCAACTTCAAAATGTTTGTGTAATTTTTCTGAGTCACCAGACTTTTTCATCAGTTGAGAAACTGCACAAATTAAAGAGCTGACAACAAGAGGTGGAAGAAGCCAAAATAGACTTGTGTTCCTTTTACACTATACAATTATAGCCCTTTGATCCTACTGTAACTCTCGTGGCTGCATCCTGTGGAATTTTAGGATTTGTAGCTTGAGAAATCTGGCAGAAAATTCCAAATCGCTAGACTGCAGATCTCAGGATTTCACAGGATGGAACCATGGGTGTATTGTCGAAGGCTTTCATGGCCGGAATCACTGTGTTGTTGTTTTTTCGGGCTATATGGCCATGGAAAGAACCATGGGTGCTTTCACAGTAGATAAAGATAGTGCTATGATTAGGGTACCATTCTAAAAAAATTCATGGATTTGTTGTTAAAGGTAAAGGTAAAGGTAGTCCCCTGACATTAAGTCCAGTCATGTCTGACTCTGGGGTGTGGTGCTCATCTCCATTTCTAAGCCGAAGAGCCAGCGTTGTCCGTAGACACCTCCAAGGTCATGTGGCCAGCATGACTGCATGGAGCGCCGTTACCTTCCCGCCGGAGCGGTACCTATTGATCTACTCACATTTGCATGTTTTCAAACTGCTAGGTTGGCAGAAGCTAGGGCTGACAGCGGAAGCTCACGCCGCTCCCCGGAATCGAACCTGCGACCTTTCGATCAACAAGCTCAGCAGCTCAGTGCTTTAACCCTCTGCGCCACCGGGTTTAGAGCACTTAAAATCCTATCAAAGACTGAGTCAATCTACCTGTAATGTTGCTCACCTCTTTTTCTACCACCTTTCATTTGGGTTAACATATTTAGTATCTGTCCGAAACACAACAGCCTCAGTTTCGTCATCTTGATTTCTAGTGAAAGTCCATTCTTTGTTTGCTGTAAGCCCATTCATTTGTCTTTTTAACAGTTCATGCGATCCACAGAATTTTCTAGCACCACATTTCAAATGAGTTG